CGGCTAATAGACGTCTTTTAAACGCAAAATTGCTTGCTGGGTCAGGTTTGGCTATAAGTGGGCTACAGATAGCCGCTCTGACTACGAGCTAAATCGTGGCTATGCACAGGCTAAGCATTGAACATGTCAAAGAAATGAAACCAAACACCTTGTAAACGCTGTTACTTTGCTTACATGATGGAATATCATACATCTCACAAGTTATTTTCCAAAAAACGACATGAAATCAAGTTCAAGGTTATTTGGGCTAGAAGTGGGTTACACATAACTCTATCGGGTCTATATATATAAATGAGTAATGACGGCTATTGCTTGCTGGGAAATGTCGCAATCAGGGCAACAGATTTGTTGGTGTGTTGCGCGGAAGTCATCTGCATCCTCAGAGCCGCTGCTTTCACTTCCATCCACTTCACGAGTGGACGCGTCTGAGCGCAGTTGATCGCTGTGACAAGATCTCTAAACTTCAGCTGCTCATCACATGTGCAAGATGAGAAGACACTTACTTGGAATACTTGTACTTTTGAAATACTGCATTTGCGGTGATGTGCTGGACTTTGATGGAGACATTAAGGACTTCGTAGTTGGTAACAGTAAGTTATTTGTTCTTACTGACCATCGACTACATCAGATGAGACACGATCTATATGAGGAGAAGAGAAAAGACATCACTAATGCCACTGACCATAACAGAGTTAACATTCTGGTGGCTTTTGATGTGAACGGCACCCTGATAACGTGTGGGACTTTTAAAGAAGGGTATTGTGAAGTTCTTGACATAAATAACATTACAAACAGTATTTACTATGAAAGTAATATTTTGGTAGGACCGCGACAGAATGAGAAATCTGTTGCCTTCATAGCCGGGAGGTTCCTTTTGGTTGGGAAAAAGGACGACGATGCAAAAGCTCAAGATACCAGGTATTCTGTTGTTAGCTTGCGGAGCACTTTAGAGTCTCAGCCAGGTGGGATTTTCTCAACAATAGCGGAACTATCAAATGCCATCATTCAGAGCACAGTGAGAGATGTGGAGTTTGTTGATGGATTCCAGAGAGTTTCGCCCTCAGAATCCTTTTTATTTCTCAATGCAAAGACTGACAATGAGAGGAAAGTGCTCGTCCTGAGGATGAACAGCTCTAAAGAGAAAAAGATAGACATAATCAAATCCCTAAAGGCTGCAACGATACGATGCTGCAGTGGTAAAGATCGTCCAGTGCTCGTCGCCTGCACCGTTATTCCCTCAGTGAACGGTGTTATTTGGGCAGGTGTGTTCAGTGCGCAGAATCAGCAGGATCCGGAGAACAGCGCGCTGGCTCTGTACAACATCAGTAACATTCAAGGCCGAGTGAAGGGCTTCTGCGCTTACGGTGAAAATCCGTGTGGTTCTGAGGTTGGAAATTGCACATTCATATGGTTTTTACAAATGAAACAGTATTTTACCTTGTTAAGATAAGGATGAAATTTGTGACAATATGTGTTGCATGATAACACGTAATTAATTAGGTACTAACTATTCACTAAAGACAAGTATTAAATAAAGTTGAATTTTGTTGTTTGTGTTTCAGACTGATACTGAACTTCAGCCGCTCTCTGACTCTGTGGTGTTCAAGTACAGCTCAATGTCAGCAGTGGCAGCAGTTAGAAATGGATCCTGGATTGTGCTGTTCATAGGAACCAGTGATGGACAACTCATAAAGGTCTCCTTCATCTATCTGTCAAACATATGCCTTTATTTTCACTAGACTCACCGAGTTTTCGTTTTTAAACACCTGCCCACCATTTCCATTTACACATATTTTTATATATTATATTATATACATATTATTTTTTGGTATTTCTGTTTGTTTTTCTAGCTTGTATTGGATGAGAAATATAAACCAGGCTGTCCAATAGTGCTGTACAAATCTGATGATGAACGAGCAGTTCTTCCCAGAATGCACTTTGATCCAGTAGATTCCAAACACATCTACATCGCTCTGAAGAAACAGGTGAGGTTTAGAAAGCCGGTGCAATTAAAAAACAATAAAAATATATATAGTATGCTAGGGAAGTAAAAAACAAATCATAAAAATATTGAATAATGAATAGTTGCTGTAGGCTATATAACATTGTAATTATACAAAAAATGTTGTTTGCACATTTATAAAATGAAGGGTGTAAATAAATCTATTTTTGATACATTTGCATGTACTGATAGTGTGCGTGATTCATTGATTTTTGCTTTGATGTTTGACCTGTTTTTGGTCATTTATCCTGCAGGTGTGCGAGGGTAATTGTTGTTTTAAAATGAAGAATTAAAAAGTGATACTGCTTTTCAGTCTCAATATGAAAGGAATAGTTTGCCCTATAGACATACCTTTGTCCAAAAATGTAATCCAAGATAATTTTTTTTATATGTGAAAAAGGGCAATTTTCCCATGCCCCACAGTTAGAAACCACTGAATTAAGCTATCCAGAAGTTGCTAAATCAGGCAGTATGTCAGATACTTTACTGTGTGTTAGATCAAATCACCATTCCTGTTTCTTTCTGCTCATGTTTTCGGTGCAGTTAAGAAGAGAATCTGTGGTTTCATGTGCTAAATACAGCACTCTCAAAGACTGCAGAGCTGCTCTGGATCCTTTCTGCGGCTGGTGTGTGAACACTCACAGGTCAGCCTGCCTTTATTACATGTGATATTACACACATCACACATGTCTGCTCTAAGCTGCATCTACACTAAACATGCCTAATTGTAGAACAGTATGTTAACTTCTTAACACCTATATGGACAAGATGACCAGTGTGCAAACAATTCTGTAATGATATTTTGGTTGATGCTGTTTTTATCTAGATGTTCTACTCAAGATGAATGCTCAAATACTTCATGGGTGTCCATCCCAAAAAACTCTCTTCAGACACAGCTGTTTTCTTTTCAGATGGCAGAGAATTATGCTAGAAAGGTAAACATCAATATCTTAAACAATTTTCTTGAATTTTCATTTGGAAAAAACATTTACAAGATTACTTTTTACCAACCATTGTCCTCTTCTACACAGATTAATCTACATCTTATTTTGAGTCTGGAGAGCACAGGAAATCCTGCATTCTCATGCACCTTCACTAAAGAAAGTGTAAACCTGTGTGACGTGTCTGATCCGCCTGCAGTTTTCCCAAACTGCTCCTGTAGTTTTTCTGACCAGATGCTCTATACTAGAGGTTGGTTCTCCTTCAAAGAAGTTCTATATTTTCTAATATACAGTGCATTTATGTAGTCCGAATATGATTATTTATAATCAGAAACATTTGGCAATCTGTTCAGGTTTAAAAGTCTCTGCTACTGTTACTATTGAGGATCAGAATATCACAGAGATGCTGACACTGAGGAACTGCTCCAGTATCACAGATAATTCACCAAATGCTTCTTATACACAGTGAGAAAATCACAGTCTAAAATAATTTCGAAAGACTTCTTTGAACTTTTATTTCAAAAATATTAAAAATATGAATTTAATTTAGGTGTGTTCAGTGTATCTCATCTGGGTGTCACTGGTCCTCATTCTCCAAGCGCTGTGAATGGACACTTGGACCTGGACCACAGTTAAACATACAGGTGAGATGGCGTGTAACCTATAATCCAGTGATTCAGTATATGTGTATTGGGAAATAGCATACCTTAATAAATTCTTATTAATTCATTGTTGATAGCTAAACTCATTGTGTTGACTGAAGTGAACTCAGGAAGTACATGATCTGCTCTTTCTCTACTCTTTAGGATGCATGTAAACATCTACTCTCTGAGATGGTCTACGATGTAAGTGTCATACTGATTATGTGTGCAACTTCACAGAATTGGGATATTGTGTTTTCAGTATTAAGTATTATGTTTTCAGTTTTCACTAATTTAAATGAATATGACTTTACAAGAGGCCGGAGATTTTGTTTCCCCATTTGAGAAAAAATATGTTATACATACGTGTGTGTATATATATACACATTATGTATAATATATTATTTATTCATATTTACAATATATTTTATCAATGTGTATTTATGCTACTACTACTACTACTACTACTAATTATTATTATTATTAATTAAATTATATAATAAGTTATTAAAATCATTTTAACTTCTGTTATTTTGTTTATTCTGCCTTTTTTTGTAACTGTGTAACTTTTGGTGTCCTGTAGAAGCCAGAGATTCTGTCTCTGGAGCCGAACAAGGCTTCTTTCCATGGCAGAAACAACATGTCTTTAAGAGGAAGGAACCTGGAATCTGTTACTAAAATCCGTATTCAAGGGGATCTGGACTGCATTCCTAAAGAGTGAGATTCTGTGTGTTTGTGTTTAGTGGTATATATGAATGTGTGTATATTCAGATAAATGATACTGTATATCTGCACACGAACGCTTCTCTTCAGATCTCCAGTGTTCGATCGCTCCAGTGACACTTTAAGGTTCCATATTCCTCCCAGTGGAACTAAAGGAACAGTGAAAGTGTGTGTCGTTACTCCTGACGACCGTTGTCATGGTAACAGCAATTACAGCATCATCACTTACAGTTCTCAGCCCAGCTGCACTGGAATACAGCCCACAGTCACCTGGAGCAGGTCAGACCATTTCAGACCACTATCAGATCAGCTTGCACATCCCATCAGCACCTCAAGAGGACAACTTCACATTTGAATTAGTGAATCCTATGTCATACAGAACATTTTAGTCATGAAATTCGCAAGGATGCTGTTAATGTGGAAAAATAAGATTTGCAACAGATGAACAGAGCAGATGAAAAAACATATGCGAGACAGCAAAAAATGAAAGCAGAAATGAGAGTCATTAGGTCATTTCCTACATGTTTTGTCGTATTTCTGAGATCTGCAGTTTACTAACTCACATGTGACCTTAGACTAGTCTAGCTTAAACTGTTAGAGGTTTAGTGAGAGCAACCTGCTTTCTGACAGCCAGGCTTTTCTTAATATTGTTTCACTTCCGTTGGTTGCTGAAATGTGTGGTACTGTGTGTCTGTGTGTGCAAAATATGCAAAAATAAGTGGGGGAATTCAAATGTTAATAAATATGTTTTTTTTTAATATCATGTATTACTTGCTGAAGATGTTTTAAATGTATCTTCATGCAGTGGTGGAAGGAAGATTCATGTTCAGGGCAGCAATATGGAATTAGTGGAGTCAGTTACTGTCCTTCCCTCTAATAAAGTGCTGAAAACACAGTACAACACAAGCTCAGGGGTAAGACATACTCATTACTTCTGCAGTTGCTCACAGCATGATGCACAGAGATCAGCTACTTACAACTTCAGAGTAAGAATCACCTTACCTTACTGACGTCTAAACTGTTGTGATGCCTAAACATTTCAAGCAATTGATTTATTTTTTTAATTTTTTTATTTAAGTTTATTTATTTTTTATTCATTTGTATACAAAATATTATAGAATTTTAAGATTTTCAATTTAATATTGATTGTCAGTTAACATGAATATAATGATCAGCTTTTTTCTGTCAGAATTTTTATATCGACTAAAGAGACTAAGTGTATTCACAGCTTACATGCAGCTTTAAATGTCACATGTTTACATGTAGCTTCAAATGTCACATGTATTAGAGTCATATATTCGTTGTCTCTCTTTCTCAGGACATGTGGTTTCACTCCCACCCTTATGATGGCGGTGGTCAGTTTAGCTTCTTGTTGAATGTTGGGAACTCCACTGTGAACTGTGTGGATTATTTCTCCTACAAGCCTGATCCAGAATTCACTGGATTCACCACCTTACAGGTGGCCAACGATCTACAGGTGAACATTAAGGTGAGTTTAATGATACTGTGAATTTAACTTTAGTCTACTCGCTGCATTTTTGGTATGCGTGCTGGCCCCTGGTTTTAAAACTCTAAATTAACTTTTACATTTATTATCAGCATGAGAAACTCACAACTTCCAAACCATCCCACACTCTCTGTTCCTCAGAAAGTGAACGATAATTTGAATTTGAATATCAGTGAGGTGACTGTGAAGGGTGTACAGGGAGATCAGCAGTATCGGTGTGTTTTGGAGAAGATTGAGTCCAATGCCGTCATCTGTAAGATTAAAGGAGAATCAGGAGCCGTCCCAGCAGTGGACGCACTCATTGTGAGTGTACATATTCATGTCTTTATGCAAATTGTCTTAATTACTTATTGTAAATTATTTATGACCCTTATAAATCTTACATACAAAGTCTTCCTTCATTTACTATAATTTTCAGATAAATGTTGGGAATTTTTCTAAAAACCTTGAGTCTCAAAGTGGTTTAATATTTTTACCC